CTCTTTCTAAACATAAGATATCATTCGTTTTGGGTAAATCTAACACGTAATCTTTGGTCTTTATTCTATTAATATGTTAAAATGAAAACGAAAGTAGACAGTGGTGTTTGATTTCATATTTCGTCTTTTTGTAAATAAAGTGAGGAAAATTGCAGTAGCCAAGGCGAGCTGACTGATGTTATTAAGTAAGCTGCTGTTTGCAGAATTACCGGAATTGCGTCGTCCCGTTCCCGTGAATTCTCACTCCCGAGTCGAACTACCTCATATACTTTTATGAGTTTTAATGAGAAATTACGAGAAACAGGTGAATAAAGACTGTCAGTCAATGTTTAATATTCAGAAAAGATTATTTCAAGAAATGTAAAACATTGGCATCTCATGTTCTGTGAGAGCTGTGCGTGGAGGGAGGGGATTGTTGCGTTCCTCTCTGTGTTTTCTGAATGTCTAAATGTGTTTCTTTTTGCCTACATTGTTTTGAACTATACTGTATAGCTGTGTGTTGCGATCAGGGCCATCCTAAACATGATTGCAATGTGTTCAGCAATGTCAAACCCCAAAATGAGATTATTTTGAATTCCTAAAAAAATCTTAATTTAAAAAGTTAACTTTATTTTATTGACAAAATATTTTAGTTTGTCTTGTATATTTTTTTTTTTATTAGATAAAATAACATTTTAAGCTGTCAAATGATCATGTTAAAACGTGGCCCTCAGATGTTACAATGTATGTATCTAGTGTGTTTAAACGAAACACTACATTACAGTAGCTGCAACGTTCAAAAAGCACGCAACTCGAGAGAAAAAAAATTATATAGTCGCGATTTTTTTTTCTCACAGTTGTTATTTCTCGCGTTCGTATCAGTGAATGTGCACGAATCAAGGAGGGTGGAGATGCCACAATGTGACTGAACTAAAACTTCCTTCCTTCCTCGTGTTAGTCATTTCTGAACTAAGATGGCTGTGGATAGGAAAAAAAGGTAAGTACTTGTTTTCCCCCTTCTAGCCGTGTTTTATTCATTAGGCTTTAAAAACGAAATCCATGCATGAAAATCTAATTAAATTTAATTTACATATAAGAAAGTCTGTGTCCGTATGGTTACTAAATAATTTCCTCAACCAGACAAATGCCTCTTGGGTTGGGGAAGATCCGTGAGTTTAACAAGGAGAACTTGAAAACCTGTGGGTTCCAGTTAATTTGTCATGTAATGGAAGAATTTAAAAAAGAGCAGAATAAACTTAGAACATATGTTAATGAGGTATGTACACACACACATACAAATTAATGAAAGATTGACTATTTACCTCATAGTAATCGCTCTGATATGTTGCATAGCCTATAGCCTACACTAAAAACATGATGATGACGATGATAATAATCTAGTCTATTAAATTTGTTAAACTTTTTTTAAGATTCTCCACAGCATCTTCTTTTTAGGGATCATTCATGAGGACTGTGTCTCTCCTGAAGACATTTTATCTGCACAGACTGCTGAGACTGTAAGACAGGAATTTCCAGAACCGTTTAGGAAATACAAGAGTCATTTGCCAAAACGGACACCTTTCTCAATATTGTTAGACAAAGTAAGAATCATATTAGGTTATGTATTTATTTGAATAGTTGTGACTTGTTGTATATTTATTAATGCCTCAAAAATGTACATTTGACTGTTTTAGATGCAGCTTACATTTGGCACAAAAGAGAACATCATGAAGGAGCTTTGCAGTCTAATGAAAAAGCTGAAATTTCCTTATCCTCTGCACAGACCAGCAAACAAAAACCAGTGCTACTACACACTGGAATCCACCGTCATTTGTGTTTGCTCCAATAGCCTGTACACATCACAAGAATATTTTGGTGCTTCTCTGGGTTGTAGGACAGAAAAGGCCAAAAGTACTATGATATATTCCTCATGTATAAATACGTGGCATGAGTATGTGTCATATGCAGTAATGTCTTTTGAACATCAAACAGAGGGTGACAGTTTACAGTTTCATAAGTCTATGCAATGCCAGGCATACATCAGGGATTGGGAAAACAACACTTACGAGGAAAGACAACCATGTATGAACTGTGTGCGTCTTTTCAATCTGCCAGAAGGTACAGAACAAAAACCTTATCCTTGTGGCAATTGTGCAGAGACAGAGTGCTTGAGCAAACTCCTGTTCAATGATCACTTCATGCGAGAGAATATAGAAATCAGGAATTATACAACTGACAAAATGAATATGTTAAAAGGCCATACTAGAGAACGTTTACGAGGGAAGCTTGCTTCCATACATTCTCTCAGCAATATAAATAAAGATGATCTTCTATGGTTTGACCCACACACTTAAAAATAAAGGTCCAAATGAGAGCAAAAAGGGTTTTCACCATAAACTTAAAAACAAACGTTATGTATTTTGTTGTCTGTGTCTGTGTCTTTACTTAAAAGTAGTCTATGTAGGTTATTACTGTATTAAAACCAGAAATTTATAAAAAAATTAAAAAAATCTGATATTAATTAAAATGTTAGGTAACTTTGTATTTGAATGAAAAAAAGAAAAGAAAGAGAAAGAAAAAGAAAAACAGTGTTCTCGTTGTTTCTTGTGATCATTCTGTCAGGCAGAACCGGTTTTGAACGATCTTAGATTAAATAGCCGAGGTGGACATTTAGTTACTCAAGTAGTTGTAGTTTTTTATTTTAGTTTCATATGTATATGATGTATATGCATATGAGTTGGGAAACCTGTTTTGAACAAGTACAGTAACTGCATTTATATTATATGCTGATTCACTGCACTGCACTACACAACTTCACAATGAGATGTTTTGTTATCAGAATGTGTTGCCAGTCCATCCAAAAGAAGGACTATCAAAATGTCTTATGTAAAACAAGCATATACAGTACAGTATATTTCCTCCCAGTTTCCCTGATGTATTTTGTTATTGCAGGACTGTGTTCAGTTCACTGTGCCCATCCACTGCACACATTCTCAACTTCTCTGACAGGTAATGTGTATGTTTGTATGTGTATTTCAAATAATTTACCATCCAGTCGATTCTAGGGATTTATTTTGATGTAGGATATGTCATTTCGGATAGTTGCTATATAAACATATTGTATATGTAGTTGGAAAATGAAGGAAGAACAATGGAAACGTATGGCAATAGGCACAGAATGAGATTAATCGATTGTATCAGAATGTGTTGCTGACAGTTTTTACATGTACAATTATTATTGTAGTCTGGGACACGACCATATAGTACAACGTTAAGAAGTCTTCAGTCTTGAAAACACAATTTGAACCATGACAACCAAGTAAGTAAAGGATTGTGCCATCAGTGTTCATTCTGAAAAACAGGGTGGGAACAAGGGAATTGGTGTACGGAGACTTCTAAATAAACAAAAGAATGGATGCATGACTTCCAAAATAAATGTTCATTTAATTCTATTTTATTTTATTTAGCTATCAGTGTGCTTAATTTAAATTTTCTTATATGTTGCCCTCTTTTTATTCCTCCTAGTTAAACTGTATTTTCACAATATGGCCACAACCTGTGGCAATTATACTCTGTAAACCAACTTTAACAAAGATAATAAAAGAAAACAAATAAAGCAACATTGTATACTTCTGAACATCATAGTAATATTATATTCAAATATGACTGTTAAAAATGTCATTCCACCCTTTAGATCCCCAGAAAAAATCAAGGAGGAATTTCTGTCATTCACTGAAGAAGGTAAGAAAGGACAAGTTCAAAATGTTTTGAAAAAGAATCAGCTTGGTTATATTGTTGCATGCCCTCTGTCTTACCAGCATCATTTGTCTTTGAAAATCTGAGCTGAATTCTCATTCAAATAAGTCCCCAAACACAGTCTTAAGAAAGAAAATTAGCCAATTAAATTAATCTAGTCTAATGAAGAAAATGAAATGACATTAAAGCTTTTAAGATGGCTGCCTGTAACAAAAGGATGACTGTGATTGCAAGCTTCAACGTCTGAAGCTGTAATGGATTGTCTGCTGTTCACTGACAGACAAGCTGCGTAAAAGAAAGAATGGTCCGCTGATCGAGTACAATGTTGTCATGTTTTGGAGACTCCTATTTTGTGGTAATGGGACTGTGTAGAGCACATGTGCAAATACTGAAAGCAGATCTTGAACGGTATTAAGATCTGTGACATTTGCACAACATCTCTGCAGAGCATTACTGTAAAGTGCGAGCGATTCCAAAACATGCCTCTTACATTTGGAAGAACCTGAGATTGCAGCAAACTTGGGCAGAGTCGAGAAGATGCATCCCACCGGGATAATCACTTGGACTAATGTGAGTTTCTCCAACAACAACAAAAAATCCATAAAGCTACCATGGAACTTTTTGTGGAATCAAATGACTCCAGGGACAATGGAAGACAGGTGACCCTAAGTACACTTAATATAAAGGACTGACATCAAAAACACACAAAGCATTATGTTTCAGTTGTCTTATATATGCAAATAATACTTTTGTTCTGATTACAAAGGCTCGGTTGTGTTTAATATGTACCACATTTGGTTTTAATAAATGATAGTAATTTCCTCCATATTCCCTCAAATTTGCTCTACAGTGTGAATTGGTTCAATCAATTATTAATATACAAATAAAAAGAACAAATTAATCTCACATTGGACATCTCTAGTCAAGAGCAAACAAATGTCATCGTTCATGGGAAAAAGCCGCTAAAAGGGTCTGAAAGTTGCTAAATCTAGTGCTAAACTCGCGCTCGTGTGTGTGTGTGAGACGCGGGAGCTGATGGCAGCGGGCGCTGGATATTTGTGGAGGTCAGTGTGGATATTGTGGATGAGTTCTTCTGTGTCATCACGTTCTATTAGTTCTACAGCTTCAGTTTCTGAACTTTCACGCTTAGTAACACATACAGCTGTTCCCTCGCCACAGTGCAACAGTGAAAAGGGACCCCTCTCAAACAGTGTCACGTTCCGAATGTTGTTTAAGCGACATACATTGCGGTATTTTAAAAATTCATATTATAACAAAAATAAACACCGGTATTCAGTATGAACCAGTATACCGCCCAGCACTAAGAGCAAGCATAGGATCTGTCATCGTTCATGCCTGCAGTAAGGAAAATACTTATGAAAAATTGCACAATGTCATGAATGCAGCTTGCAGATGAATTCTGGACTTATTCACTGGCTGATTCTTCATCGTACAGTTTCCTGGTCTCCATTTTAGTGACACTGTCCTTCAACACTTCTTCAACTAATGGAATGCAGAGAATTGATTGAGAATTGAAATCTTCACAATTTGTGAGGATCACTGACACACATTCTGATATTGCTCAGATTGGGTATATAGTGGTGAAGAAGCATGTTGCATGATCACTGATACAAGACGTTGATTCCATGCAGCAAGGATGAGAAAATGGATCACCGATGGAGCAAGAGTACGGAGTGTTTTTGTGGGACATGGCAAATTCAGGAATCACAATCAACACAAATACCGTGAGATGTTTTATTAACTTCATTTCATCTGACACACCATTTCCCCACTATCCATTTGTTTACCGGAATGCTGAAGTGAATTTTTTCATTTATTAGATTAAGGCTAATAGGATTCATCCATACCTCTTATTCCTGGACACTTAAAAAAAACTTTAAATAATACAAAATTAATTGATACAGACAGTTCATTGACGCAATGAATGTGTAATTAACATTCTTTGTGTGTACAAAAGTACAAAAATAAATACATTTACCATTGTGTACTATATAAAACTATATAAATGTATCTGCCTGCATATTATATTTCTTTATTTCTATTCAAATCTATTAGTTACTACTACTACTACTACTACTACTACTAATAGTGATTGTGCTTTAGATGCTGTGGACCTCTGTGGAATAGCAAATTTCGTCAAGCATCACTGCAACTCGACAATTCCTCTTGTTAAACCAAGAAGTTGTACTCTGAGAATTTGTGGGCTGGAAGAAACTGTGTATGAAGGGGATGAAGAACAGCTTGAAGCCTGGAAAGATTATTACCTGCCAGAAAGGATGGAAATGGAGGTGATTGGTGCCATTGATGACTTCCCATGTGATGCATTCGGTCTGCAGTTGGTGCTTTTGTTGGGTGAAGATGGAAGGGTCTTTGCCTGTGAGGATGAGCTTTTGCACCTCGTAGCCAGGAATTTGAGGGACCTGTTCCAGTGCGAAATGGCTTTCCCTGGAATAGAGACCTTCAAGCTTGGAGAGTGTTTTGAAGAGCCGGTGAGGTCACAAAAACATACATTATACATTTATTTTTTTATTCCTACATGCATACTAACATTTCACTGAACAAGATGTTTATATTGAGTGGTTTACAATTTAGACACAATGTTGGCCATTTCCCGGTTTTATTCTGCCAACGACCGGAGATACCGGACAACACTCAATAATGAATTCATATTTTTGAATCAGTCTAATCTGTTTTGAATCAGGTGAACGATTGATAAAACAGATAAAACTAATGACGTGTTGTGACAATCAGTGAAAAGTCGCAGCACTGTATTGAAATGCCACTCAGCCAATCAATAAAATATAATAAGTAGCTAATTAAGAAGATTAAACCATAACTCTGAACATTCTGAATACTAGATTCCAGATATCTTATGATGGTTAGATATAGTGATTATCTAGGGATTTGCAAAATGTATGTTTATACATACTGTTGATTATATTCAATGCTTATGCATATTCTTGTGTTTGTTGCACAGACTGAGGAAGAATATCTTGAAATGATGGAAAGCGAAGATGTCAAAGAAATGAAGAAATTGCACATAGAGTACAGAGAATCTCTGGAGCTTGATTTGCTGAACACTATGAATGAAATCGCACAGAGCCGTGACGTAAGATTACAAATCGTTCTTTTACATGTATTTATTGCATAGATTTAAATGGTATAATAATAATAAAAACGATAATAAAGTGCAACCACCCCTTCTTTTTTGGAAAACAGGTTCATAAACAAAAACAAGTGGTTTCAGAGGAGTTCACGTCAAGCACAAAACAAAGATTTCAAGAAAATGCATCAATATGCAGTTGCAAGGTGGAAAACAGAGAAAAGGTTTGGTACAATCAATGTCATTACAGGGCTTTTTGCCTATCAAGCCATGGGCTTATTGTGTAAAATGACATGAATCCTGTTCAAATTCATCTTGATCTTCTGCTCTTCTGCTCTTCTGCTCAACATTTAACTAGAAAATATTTCTCCGTGTCTTCTCAAGATTATAAGTGAAAAACAGTACATACTTCTTCAGTTAGCTGAGGAGATTTGATCAGAGTGGCTTCATCAGGTGGAGTAGATTTCCCGGTGACTGACAAGGTTACATACAGCAAATCCACATTATCCAACAAGCAATGACATTCTCTGACATTCCTCCTCAACGTTGTGCTCCTTGCCTGTGAATGCTCTTAAAGTGGGACGTTTAAACGTAGTCAGCTTTATTCTTTATTCTTTCATAAAAAAAAAAAAATGCATGTGATGATTAAAAAAGAGGCATGTCATACTGAACTTGGGTAAATTAAATACAATTGTGTATATTGTAAATGTGATATATTTCGACCTGGTATTTAATATTTTGAATCAAAATTTTTACATTCTTTTATGTGAATTCCACAGCCTTGAGGTGGTCTCATTAACCAACAGTGCATTTCCATTGGCACACTGAATTTGCATAAAACAAGACATGTAGCACATAAGATTAATATAATGTATATTTTTATTGGCAAACTGATCCAGTCACTTTAACAATAAACAATGTATTTCAGAGTTCATTAAGGAAGAAAGAGAGTCGGGAGAAAAGGAAGGATGGGTCAGTGAACCAGTTAATTGGAATTTAAAATAGTAAATTTCATAATAGTTGTATTATGTATTTTATAAATTACACTAAAAACTAAAAGATGTTATATTCATCTTGGACCTTTTAGGACATTTCAGTGGTATGCATGTGCAGGAATCAGATTTAAATGTTTCACAGTTATCTCATATTCTCTCAAGTGCAATTAAGTGTCATCTGTATTTTTAAAGTGATACAAAATATTCTACAAACCACATTAATGCAGCTACATAAAAAAGAAAAATACGGTTGTTGTCCTTGCAAAGAATTTTCAGCAGCTCATCCCTGGTAAAACTGATCGTGTTTGAGAAACAAAAACAGGAAAAACGAACAAAAACAGTACAAACACTGGAGAGCCAAGCACTGAGGCGGCCCTCGGCGGCGCCATCTTACTATCTAGCTACTATCTACTGTCACTTACATTATAGTGACAAAGTAATAATTTGTTTGAGAAAAAAAATACACAAGTTATACAAATCACTGGGGAATACAATAAAACAAATTTGGCCTTAGGTGCAAGATAATAATGATACAAATAAAGTTAACTGTTACTTAAAGATACAAATAAAGTTAACTGTTACTTAAAGTTCAGTAAAGAAAATAAATACTGTAAGTAATCAATGTGGTCATTTAAATTACTTTTTGCATTTAAACAAGGAATATAGATATAAAAAATGGTTCACTCCTATTACTTGAATGGAGAAACTGCAACATGTATCAGGGAGGAATATATCATTCCTTCTAAGTAAAAGAGCCAGTCGCTGATTGGTAAAGGAATTGCATCACAGCAGATGATGTTAGAAGCTCCAGATTCCATAGAAACCTAAAACTTGTGCTTAGGACTGCACACGTGCATTGGCTGGTCTAGCCTGAAAGATAAGTTGTTCTTTTTTACACTGCTTGAGGATAAGAAGCAACAATAATGGGATAGTTTATGTCAGAATTAGTTGATTAATTAAGTTTTTGAGATTTCAGGATTCCTCCATCCAGAGAGATGCCTGAAATGACTGCTCGGAGGCATTGAAATATATCCGCCGGCTGAGCAGACGTTCCTTGAAAGGGACTATGATTTAACAATGGAGTTAATGAAAACTAAATAATTAATATAATTATAAAAGCCTTGAGAAAATATCAGGCAATACAACTAGATTACAAGTAGATATACAAACAATACAGAAACATTGCTTGGGTGTAGTTCTTGAATAATGTGAAAAAGATCAAGTGTGCCAAAATCAGAAAGGCCTTCAAAGGCTTCTGAGGTTTTCTGGAATCTGCAAAATAGCTGAAAAGTTAAGGAAGAGAGTAAAACAGTTTTCAGACAATGACATGTATTAGGTTCGTCCTTCACCCGGGAGAGTAGGTGCTATGAGACCTCATAAAGTAACATTAATAATATAGACTCAAAATAAGAGAAACTCAACAAAATTGCATAGAATATGGGGAGATATTTAAAAGATAAGGAGCTATGATTTAACAAAAAAAAAAAAGGGTTTGGACAACGAAAATATTGAGGGAAGAAAGGCAGTTATAAATGCAGAATGACCGTACTTAAATAAATCATTTGACAACATTTTTGAAAGAGGTGACATAAAGGAAAGGAGTTAATACATTATAGGTTGGTATGTGTTGTATGCCGATATGTGGATATATAAATGGATTGTAATGTACAAGGTGAAGAAATATATGCTTACATCTCCATTTTTGTTTATTTCCATTGAGACTGCAGAGTAACTTATGTGTGTAATACAGATACAAATACAGATGGTCTGGTTAAAAGACTAAAGAAAAAACTAAGGAAAACATGGTCTTTATTTGAAATTTAAATTGTAAACTTTTAAAAGAAATAAGAAAATAAGACCAATACAAGCTTTAATAGCATTTGTGAAGGCCTGTGAGACTGCATATACTGTATGTAATTATATGGACAGGCAGAAAAGGATCAACTACTGCAAAGCAGCATATGAGAACGGATACCAGTGGAGACCTGGATGAAATGCATGTTAGTAAACATAATTATTAAATAATATTTACTGTCTGTAGAATGTGTTCTAAGGGCAAATAAGCTAGTAATAATAATGAAGTATGTGACAATGTAAGTTTTGAAATAGTTCCAGCCAGAGGTCAGAAAATCAGTCAATTGTTTGTGCTTTAATTGCCAAATACACTATTGAAGTTTTAAATGTAATGAAGGTATTGTAATACCAAGTGATTAATGGACTAGAAGAAGTCAAATAACCTCTTTGCTTGAACTTGACAGTGAAACCAGCGGCCCAGGGAGAAGTATTTATACTAAACAATGATTCCTTTGACTGACGTCTGTAGAGATTGTCTGGTCATTGGAAGGGGCCGTGTTTCAATGTGAAGGTACCAAAAAGGCAACTGATTAACATTCAATTACTAAGGAGAACTGATGAGGTACAAATTAATGTGTGATGGCAGTAAAGCAGAGTACAAAAAAAAAAAAACCCCGGTGAGACTCTGACTTAAAAAGGTTAAGTTAAGAGACAAAAACAGACGACCCTGGATGGAATATTAAATAAATGTGTTCCAAAGCAACAATGTGTTATGTACAAATGTAAAGGATAAACTTTGATCAAGAGGAAAATGGTCAAAAACTGAAAGCAAGAATTACAATGAGTCAGATTAAATGCACAAGGGGGATGTTGTGCAATATGCATAAGAATACAATTACCTCATTGTTTAATGTATTTAGTTAATATATTATGTCTAAGGGTGTATTATTTTGTTTATTTCCTGGGAAGGCCTCATACAGACAAATATGTAACTGCTGCATTTTGTAGAGGAAATTAAGGAATTGTCCTATTGCAAGTATGCCTTTGTTTTTTATGTAATACCTTTGTATTGTAACCAAATACAATTGTTATTGGTATTGTTTTATTGAGAAAGTGGTTTATTAAGAAAGACACCACACGTTATTGTATTTGTTTTATATTTGTTTTATTGAGAAAGTGGTTTATTAAGTAAAACACCACACTTGTTGTTTTAAAAAATTATTAAGAAAACGTTTATAACATGTATAAGCAAGAGCTTTGAAGAAAAAGAAGGTGGGCATTACCTCAGCTGGTGTGTTTCAAACGAAGTGTAAAAGACAGCAGTGCAAAGAATCCCGAAGAAGAAAAATGAGAAGATGCAAGGCCTTTTATAAACAACTTCTTAGGGGATTTCCAGTATGATGTTACAATACATTGGAATCCACCTGCTGTCTATAAAAGACTGAAGTGATGATGAAAACAGATGCTGCTTTGAGATCTGAAGAGCTTCTCCGGCACCAGAACCATCACTGATATTGCCTTGAGCAAAGAACTTTTTCAGATTTATACTTTATTTAATACTTATATGCAGTACTTGTAGAATATTTGTACTGCTTACTTATTAATTGTAATAATAAACTGACTTGTATTTATATAACACAAGTCTGCCTACCCTGGCATTGATTTATAGTTAAGAACAGACCATGGAGAAGTCTTCTGTGACCTATTTTGTAAGTATGAACTCAGATGATTATGAGATAGGACAGATTTGACTTACTTTGCCTAACCTGAGAATAATAAAATAAGGTAATAAAATAAAGGTAGAAGGTGTAGGATATTTAGCACCATAAAACAATATATATATATATATATACCGATCAGGCATAACATCATGACCACTGACAGGTGAAGCGAATAACATTATCTCTTCATCACGGCACCTGTTAGTGGGTGGGATATTAGGCAGCAGGTGAACATTTTGGCTGTGTTCCAGTCCATTTCTTTATGCCCTTCACTCTTAAACTTTCCTCCTTCTCGTTTACTCGGATGTACATCATTGATTACATTGCATGAGTGCACACTACTGGAGGAACCCTTGGAATGTGCTGAACTGGAACATCCTAAGCCCTTGGTCACTTAGAATCCTCATGGAGTTGGTTTGTTGTTTACATTTTTTCCCTTACAAATTTGTTTGCGGCAGCATTCTATATGTATATAGGTATGCTTGGACTGTTATAAATGTTTAAAAAATTATAATTTATATATTATAGGGCTATTTGGGGTGGGAATAAATTAAACAAGATATGCGATGATGTCATTGTTGTTTACATTTTTTCCCTTACAAATTTGTTTGCGGCAGCATTCTATATGTATATAGGTATGCTTGGACTGTTATAAATGTTTAAAAAATTATAATTTATATATTATAGGGTTATTTGGGGTGGGAATAAATTAAACAAGATATGCGATGATGTCATAATCGTGTTGTACTGTGGTCTATGGAGCGGCCTGAAGTGTGCATATAAAGCAGACTCCCTCTGTCAAAATCGAGGGGTCAAGGGTCTGTCCATATCCATAACATATTGGCTGTTTTATTTTTAAATCTACAAGTATCACTTTGATTTGACATCACTTTATTTATTATATGAATAATACACTTAATGAAATGTTAAGAAT